GGGGTTTGATGAGGTCTAGAACACAGGGATCTATCAGTAAGGGCTGAGGAGGACAGACTAGCTAGGGGTTAGAAAGCTGGTATAGGGGCACTAAGGCTGGAGACGGGCAGCTATCTCATTTCATACTTTAACGGCATGATAACAGAAAAAACAATGAAGTTAAATCTATAATATAGAAAAAGAACCAAAAAGTACAGTTCTCCAAATACTTCACATTTTATAGACTACTTTGGTGAAAGAGTGAAGACAACAGACATCTCAGAAGTGGATTACTATGAGTGAGGGGTGCAAAGAATGGGAAGAAACGATAATCATAACATCAGACAACTAATTATCATAGAAAGTAAAGGACTACTTAACACTGACAACTAATTGATTGGCTTAAGAATCAGTGCAGTCATGGTTTTGACTTCACAAATAGATCGATAAGGTTAAGAAAAACATGCCAAGGTTGAAAATATGTCATCTTAACCTCATAAGTTGAACATAACCAGATCGTTCAGGAGGAAACAAAACCAAATGATGAAAAGAAATGCCAATAAGAACTCACAATAAACAAGAACAATAAGGATTCTCAAGCACCTGAAAGTATCATTATGGATGGAAATAATTATTTCTTCTTCAGGAGATAGTTCCAACTTCAAGGGCCTAAATTTAAGAAAGAAGAAAAATAAACTTAAAGCCAGGAACAAAATTCTCGCGCAATGCAGAAGAGAAATATTATAACTTCATCACCCCTTCAATTTCCCACGAGTTTGGTTCATTAAATATGTTTACATAACAATAGCAGAATGCACAAAAATTCTGAAATGTGTCTACCTAACAATAGTAGTCTAATCCACAACAATTCTGCAATGTTAAATAGCCTCACACCTTCATAGATAACTGGTATTATTTACACCCACAACTCACCCGTATTATCATGCATTAATAACTTATAAACATGCAATGTTCAAACAATTGCATGACTCTCAATTGATCAACATATCAATGGAGTATGTCACATAGAGAACTTGCACTACAAATAATAGAGATAGAGTCTTGAGCCTTCCTTCCAAAATGAAATTGAGGGATATGTACTCAATTTTGAGAGGCCAATTGAAATGCTAATTTATCATTTTTAGATGATGTAAAATAGGACCAGTTAGATCTTAAGTTCTCGCCCTAGATAAACATGGAGAAAATTGAATCACAAGGACTTTAATTTTGACCTAGCATCTATATGGGCCAATTTAAGACATACATCAACAAAATCAGCCTCTAGCCATTTGGCACCAGGAAGAGAATTTTAATAATCTCTTAGTTTTTCTTGGTTTTAACATCTCATGACTTCCCCACGCTACAGGAGAAAGGTAAAAGCCGAGATAATCATAAAATCATTCAGCACTTGCTACACCAACTCAAACCAGTAACAACTACTCTAGGTCAAGATGGGATTTGACATGAAAAATGGTTTAGTCACTTAGAGTAAAAGTAGCCCAAATCCCATACAAATCAATATGAAACCTAACACATGTTATAGGCGCAAAACTTAAGTCTTCTCCTAATCCTTGCTTTTAACAACTATGCTACTCTTTTTTGCTGTGTAAACAACTTAGTTAGAAGGAAAAAGAGGAGGTATTCCCTTTATTCTTTTGATCGAGTTAAGTAACATCAGTATAGATTTACCTTAACAAAAACATTTCACTTTCCAGCTAATTTGCAGTTTGCACCTATCTTTTTTTTTATATTTTATGACAAGGGAAACCCGCAGCCGCACCCTTTTGGGTGTGCACAGGGTAAAACCCCCGCTCCTATGCAATAGCTCGCAAACCACATAGGAGAGGTAACCCGCACTAGGCAAGCCTGGTGCGACGAGCTCGACCCAAAAGTAAACCCCTTGCTTTCGCTGGCAAGGGGTTTTGAACTTGAGACCTCCAACATGGAAGTCTTGATACATAATAAATTCAAAAAATCTTAGACAAAACACATAGCAGGAGAATGAAGACCCTCACCGAAGTAAAGGTTGCTGATTCAAGATAGTTGATTGCGACAGGCGCTCAAAATTATACTTCTCGTCTGCGGCATGCTGACCAACCAAAGCAAAATGAGAGAGAGGGAGAGGGAGAGGGAGAGAGGGAGGGGGGAGAGAGAGAGAGAGAGAGAGAGAGTCCAATGCAAATCACATAAGCAACTTTCAAAAACCAAAATAAAATGAAAGATTAGTTTACTATTGACTACAGACAGATCAGTACACAACAACAAAGGAATAATACCTGATCAACGATAAAAAGGTCTTGATCCAACCTGCCTATAATGAATCCAAGATTGAATTGCCCGATCACCTGCAGAACAAAAATAGAAGTTGAGAATTTTCGAAAGCTGATACTAGGAGTGTGTTTGTTATGAAGGAATTTTGTTTTCCTGGAAAGTAAGTGGAATTCTTACTTATTTTCTTGTGTTTGGTAAATAAGCAGAAAAATATTATTGCAAAAGAAATTGTATAAAATTTAGGCAAACACTATTGGTATTGGCATGGGAGGCTAGGGGTGGTTGGGATGGGAGCTATGGGATTATGGGTGGGGTGTTCTGGAGGGTGGATATTCGTAAAATAGTGTGGAATGTCACTTATGGAATGCTTTCCCCGCTTCCTCTAGGGAAGTCATTTTCCTCATTTCAAGGAACTTGTTTTCCCAGAGAAAAATGTTTCCAAAATTTTTGACCAATGAAACATGAGAAAATTGAAAAACATTTTCCTCCATACCAAACACACACAACTCTACATTTCTGCTGAAACTGCTGATGACAAAACTAAACATGGACAAGAAGTAAATTATCAGTTGCATGTAAATAAACTAGTGCTTGACTAAAATTAGCATTAGAAGTATGACAACCTATGCATACAAATAAAACTCACATATTGCAGATGTATAGCACAAATTCAGCTCTGGAAATACTCAGAAGTTCAAAAGAGTGAGTTTATATTGGCATATCCAAGAGAGGATGAGAAAAATCACTTATTATGGACTAAAGAATCTGTCACAATATTTTAAGTCAGAATACTAAGGCTTCATGGTGTAAGGAGAGGAAAGAAGAGAACACAAAAATGCTGCAGTTAAAAAAATCACAATGCAAATAGTGACTCCTGTCATGTCATGAATTGGATAGTCTCAAAAGAATAGCTGGGAATGAGTATTATCAAGCGTTAAATGAGGAACATGTTCAGACTGAACTTCATAAAAGAGAAAAGAAAAAGTTGCATTAAGTGGAGAAGTTCAGTCAAAGTGGGTATATAAGGCATTTCTCAAAAAAGAAGAAGTGGGTATAAAAGGTACAATCAAAGTGTGCCTTTAAAGAAGTAGATGTCAATATTTATCACACAGAAGTAGGAGGACAAATTCAATTTGGGACCAAAGAATGCTAAGAATTTCACTGGGGAGTTTATAAGTGTTGTTGACTGGAAAAAGATAATGAAGCGTCGGAACATCTCCAGTACCACAAGATCCTCAACCAAACCAACTACAGACGATCTAAGAGTAACACTCACATGCAAACAAAAATCAGAAAGCTAATTTTTTTGGATTAGAGACAAGGTCTATTAAGATAGGGGTAGGGATAAAAGAAAAGAATCCCCAAGGAGATCCTAAGACAATCTTACCTTCCAGCCAGAATCAGGAAATAAAATTATTGGCAAATCAAAATCATAATACAGGTTTGATTTGGAATGCTAATAAATGGACGAATTTGGACCTTCATTCTAGTAAAATCTTCTTTCTTGAAAAGTTTCTCCAACTCATTGGTAGCATCAATCAATGCCCTTGCCTTTGCCTCTTCATTTTCTGATCCGGAGAGCTCCAGGGTTGCTGCAGCATAATCCCTTCAGAAAACATTATAGAACTTTTATTAACTAATTCAAAGACCAAAAGCTCTTTCTGCCAAGCCAATAGAAATTACCACGTGTACCTCTTTGTTTTCATTCTTTGAGATGTATGATTAAGGAGTTGCAATCTTGACAGCCTCTGGTTCCTTCTTGATACAAGTTCTTTCACACTAAATTGCAATGTTGAAGCAATCTTTGAATTAGATGAAGCCTTAGGAGGATCCAGAGTCAGACTAGCAGGCTGTTCAGAAGAAGAAGCATCTACCATATTTTCTGACACATTATGGATGTTGTTGCAAGTAGAATCAAGAGGCACTGGTTCAGTTACACATAATTCATTCATTTGAACTTCATGCTCCTGAAAATGAAATGGTTCAAACCTAAAAGGACTGACCAAAATAGTATAGAGAACGAATTGAAATTTTTTTTTTTTTTTTTTTGATAACCGAGAAATCCGTCTGTGACCCGCCCTTTGGACCAATCACAGCCTTCTAAACTCGGTGGATAATGGGCCCGCCCCTCTACCCTTCTCCACTTAAATACCGGGCTTCGCTTTGCATGGTGTGGGGCTTGAACCTGCGACCTAAGCCACAAATCCTCCACCTTTTGCCACTTGAGCTAGGCCTTGGGGGCAGAACGAATTGAAATTTTCAATGGCAACTATCATTCCTTATCAAATTCAACTGAACAACAAAGCAAGGAGAGTAAAACCGTTCAGAAAGGTGATTTCTATTAAATTTATCTTACCTGTTCAAATCTTCCATTTTTTGTACTATTTCCAGGTGGAGAAAAATCATTTGTTTGATCAAGGACTCTACCCATTCTTGAGTGCTTCATTTGATGAAGAAATCTGTCTATCTTTGAGATCTCGGAAGATCCAGAGTCATTAATGGTCACTTCATCACACTTATCAGCCTTAACTGGATTATCTGGAGATCTTAAAGATGCAGTATTCTTCAAAGTATTGTCTTCTCCTGATGGGTGGACAGTCGATCCATTTCTCAGGATAGGTACCTCAGATAATGTAGTACTCAAATTCTCGTGCTTTCTCTTATTTACCATAACAAATTTGGTGAGTGATGACTGGACAATGCTTGCACGATCAACATAACGTGCATTATCAATACAGCTTTTATCTTTTGAGCATGGGGTGAGTGCATGTCTGTCGGTTATAGCAGTAGGCAGACCACCGACCTCTTGCAGGGAACTTCTGGAACTGTTATTGTCTTTCTTCTTTCCATGGAATCGAAGACTGAAGTCTTTCTCTGTTGACCTGTTTCCATCATTTAGCATCACCTCCGTGACAGACATATCTTTTAATTCCTGAGTCTTTTTGAGAAAATGACCATCTTTACGTAGTTCTCCAATGCAGTCACCTTCCTGAGCATCATTGATATCTGACAGTAATTGCTTGGGTTGAAACTGAAAGGCCTCAAGATGGGAAGGAGTGGATGTATGTTTTTCTTCAACCTCTTGGAAACTATTAACAGCATAACTAGCATGATTAGATGAATATATCTTTTCTAAAGCTTCTCTCAAAGAGTGCAATATGGACCTTTCGTCAGACAAAAATATTTTTCTTTTATCTGGAGTTACATTGACATCAAATTCTCTTGGTGGGATCGCAAAATTCATGATTGCAATGGGATATTGCCGAGAGTTTGCACCTCTATACAACTCATTGACAAGCTTGCCAACTTTTGGCATATCCACTGGCCGTCCATTCACAAAAAAATATTGTCGATCTCCTAAGTTGCGTCCACTACCATAGCCAGACTTGGAAATGAATCCTTCAACAGTGCAACCATCGGACATACATACTTTCAGAGGCTCCAGACAAGTAAAGGTACTCATACCAAATACTGTTATAATATTATCTTTCAGAGATCCACTTCCCTGAGTCTTCAGAACTACAGATCTTGCATTTTTTAGAGCTGAGTTGGTACAAACTAGTCTGACTCCCTTAGAAATAAGAGCATAGGCCTAGAAGTGCAACCAACAAAAGAAAAGGAAACTAAATAACTTAAACAACAAAAGCATTAAAATACTTCTTCAGCAGAAACCATGCATATACTCTCTTAAGATTAAGAACCTTGACAAGAACAAATTATAAAGCAGTCTAACATGGATGATAAGGTCACCTAACTATAGCACAATGCAATTCAGAATCACCAGAAGCAAAAAGATTTTTTGATGAAGTTAATCAATTTCATTAAAGAGGGAAATCTCCCCTATACAAAAAGTATACCCAAAAAAAAAATGGAGAGCCTACATAAAATTATGATTCTCTACATATTGCTCCACAATTTGCGCCAACTACAATTTAGATAGAAACCTCACTTTCCTAGGAAGATTTTGTATTTTTCACCCCTTGTAATGCTTGAGTTTATAAAGGGGATCAAATTCACTCAGGTAGGTTTCCAACTTGCTTTAAGCTTTTCCAATTGAATAAAAAATGAATTAACAGATATTAAAGGATCTCCTAAAAGACACTACAGCACCAACACAGCATAACTGCTATGACATACAAATTCATGTGCAACAGTGTCTTTTAGGTGATATATTCATAACCGAGATACTCCAAGTAGAATCATAAAATGAAAATTTCAATATGGTGAAGAAATTCTCATTTTTACCTCTTTCTTTTTCCTTTTGGTAGCAATAGTGGTCAACAAATTTCTAAAATTAGAAAATAATTTCCTCCAAAAGGACAAAGAACAAGATAGCTACTGTAACACAAATTGATGCTTGAAGTTCGAACCAACTTGAACTGAATTGGATTATACCATCACGAAGAGCCCTATAGATTTGACAGCACCAGTTGACATTCCCATCTCAATTCTTAAGTTTCATTAAAATCAAACCATCCTAGGAAATCAATAGCCAAACACGAGTAAGATAATACAGATTAAAGGGATCATACATTCAGCAATGTGATAAGCTTTCCATATTCCTTCCGGATGTTGCGGTGAAACTCTTTACTTCTCACCGGTAAAGTGGAGAACAACTTCTTAACAGTCACAGTGGTACCAACTTGGCGAGCTGTGTTCCTTTCAGCTATCAGAAGGCCCGAATGATCAAAAGTCAAGTGTGTCGCAATTTGCTCATTCTTCGTTCTTGTTTCAACCGTCAAATCCCCTAAAGTACAAAGTGAACTCAAAGCCTCGCCTCTAAATCCAAAAGTCACTAATGACTGAAGATCAGGAAAATCTGATAGTTTTGAGGTATGATGTTTTAGCGCCAGTACCTTCAATACAAAAACACCCACACCACTTAGTAACAAATTAGACCAATTTACTATGGACTAATTAATCAACAGAAACGAAGAAACATAAACAAACAGTGGAAATTAGCATCAAGTGAGCTATTGAAAATAGAGATTAGTCTACATGTGCACGCGCATGTGCACATTAACACATCTATATACACATGGACACAACTTTGATTGAAAATAGAAAGTAGTACAGAGAAAGCTTACAAACCCATTACACATGTATAAGTGTGTGTCTGTCTGTGCATACAAATTACACATACATATACAAATATATATATGGAAAGCTTACACACACACACACAATATTACTAGCTTCTTCAGTTGCAACAATCAACAATAAGACTTAGGGTCGATCACTCAACTAATAGTTATTATCCCACGTGCACACCTTTTTGCATCCTCAAAGAAATTGAGCAGAAAACAGAAAGGAAAACACCTTGAAATTTTGAGGTGAGATGCCACAACCGTTATCAATGACCTGGAAGGATTCAGCACCATAGTCTTTGAGGGAGACTTCGATGCTGGTAGCTCCGGCGTCCAAGCTATTCTCAACCAATTCCTTGACGGCAGAGGGAAGGTCCAGAATAACTTGACCCGCACAAATTCTATGCACTACGCTCTTGTTTATGGGTTTAATAGTCGACGGTGAAGAAGAAGCTGCTGCTCCGTCCATTTCAATGGCGCTCGCTCGATTGTAGGGGCAATGCCGGTAACTGTAAGGTATCAAGTTTACTACTTCATGCTGAGAAATTCAGGGATTCATGTGCGCTAGTGGAGCTTCAACAAAACAAGAATGATTCACTGTGAAAAAAAACGAAAACCCTATGGTTTCAATTCGATTGCTGTTCAGATTTCAGAAAAATCACTTGCTTGCCGCCAAAACAAAGCCGTTTTTGAAGATATAGGTCATTAGTTGGGAGCAAAATGGACACAACGGTGTCGTGGTGTAGTTGGTTATCACGTCAGTCTAACACACTGAAGGTCTCCGGTTCGAGTCCGGGCGACGCCAGACATATACATCTAAAGTTTTTTTTTTTTTTTTTTATTCTTTTCACTTTTTTAAAGGGTTGAAACTGAAAGTCAGAAAAATCCTTTATTTAGACGTTCCTTTAAAGCATTCCTTTTAGCCATACCATACATGTTTTATTATTTTTTTTACTTTTTAAAGGGTTGAAACTTAAAGTCAAAGAAGAAGAATCCTTTTATTTAGTCGTTCCTCTTAAGCATGTTATTTGTTCAGCCAAGGATCTATGGGCGATTGGTGGCCATGGTGCAGTGAACGAGGGTGTCCCATCTTTTGTTTGCAATGACACTACAGAGCCAAGATCCTATTTGAGAAGAGTACATAGTCGGTAAAATTTGCACATATATCATCCTCTCACAACCCATTTGTGGGATTACAATAGATTAATTGTTTCTTATGCATGCTGATATACATGGGTCAGGCAGATGTATAAACGCAATTACAAACAATCTTTCAAAAGATCACTTGTACGTTGTTATTGATGCGGCAAGTTAAACGTAGACATTGAAGGAGTGAACACTTTTGCTCATTTATATTGAAAATCTTCTTCCGTATTAACCAACTGAAGACATACTATAACTATTGTATCACTGCGAAATGTTAAACTTTGACAGTGGAAGTATAAATAAATGCTCTCTAATAATACTAATTAATAGTAAAATCTCCTCCTTATTTCATTACATTGGATAAAGAATAACGTATGCAAAACATTAGAAAACGCGCTACTAAATTCCTATAGCACATAAGCAGAAGTTGACGATCAACGTTAACCCACAATGAGTGTACTCTCACTCTTAGCCTCCGTGTTATTTTTTCCCCTAAGACTTTACTGCAATGCAGGCACCTGATGTCAAAGAGATCTGTTTGTGCAGCACAAAATAGACTGAAGGGATGCTTTTTTCCTAAAGAAAAAAAAAGTAGTAAAGAATAACCCCGTTGTTTCAGAAAATGGAGGTTAGCGACAATTCATCCAACAAAGTTTCGTTGATCGTCTCTCAATCATGTCATCTGCAAACTGCATCATTCAATCTTTTTTGATAGAAATTGTCCATAGGAGGTCAGAATCAGATTGCACTGTAACTATGTTTTCTTTCACAATATTTGATGTACTGACTAAGCCACCAAATCTCATTTCGGTATTATCTGAATAAAAGTCAAGTAAAGGTAAATCAGAGTCGAGCATGAAAACTAGATAATCACAAGTACAACGACATCAACTATGAGTCAAACAGTTTCATTGTTATTATGGGAGAAACAGGAATATTTTTGTTGAGGTACCTAAGCAAGCTTCTTGGATTATTCAAAATATCCTGAAGGCTAGTAGATACTTTGTCGCTGCTGAGATATTGCAGATGCACTCTCCTTCTCAATCAAGTAAATGTAGTTGAGACTTAGAGGGCAATTCCACAAAGTAACTTGGAGGAAGATGGAGCCTAAAAACTTAGGGCTACCTAGATGGATCTTCATACTCAAACTGGCTGCCTTGGGAAGGCTGAACACAAGAGATAGATTATTTAAATGGGGAGTGACAAAACAACAACAATGTGCACTTGTGAGCTGGAAAATGAGTCTATAAACCATCTGTTCTTTGCTTGAACAATATCAACTCAGGTATGGCAAAAACTCTTAATATGGATTGATATTAACAGAGGCACCATGGGGTGGAATGAAGAATTACTTTGAGTTGAAGCATATGCAAAAGGCAGAAGTCACAAAGCTGAGATATACAGGATGATGCTGGCTGCAGGAGTTTGTATTTTATGGAGAGAAAGGAACTCAGGGATTTTCCAAAACAAGAAACAGTCCACAACAATGATGATCAAGCAAGTGATCCATGAAATCCATATTAAAGCAGGAAAAGTTGCAAAGCTTGGAGGATGGTTGACAGATCACAACTTTTATCCATAACTGCCTATGACTTGTTATTATAGGCTCTGGTAGTCAGAATTGACTTTATTTGTTCTTGATGTTAGCTTATGTATTTTTGACGGAGTACTTGGGGGGACTGTGTCCAACAAGTACTCCCCCTTCAGATGGGTTGTAAAGCATCACTTAGGTAATGAAACTAAAGTTGGTTACCAGAAAAACTGTTAGCATTGGCTATCTGGCAAGAATTGTATCCCTCTTGTAAATGAACCAATAGCTAAACAGAGATGTCCCAGGCATAAAGCATTAGCCCATACCAAAATGTAGGTAGCATCTAAACCACACAAAATTTTGTAAGGAAAGAGTAGATGGAGCTACTCACCCAGATTCCATTGGAGACCCGTAGTACTGGTTCTTCCAGCAACCATTCCAATGGGTATGAGTCCGCAATGTGGGCCCTCAACTGAGGAGTCTATATGAATCTTGTGATGATGCTTACTTGGAAGAAGTTGGATTAGGCTATCATCAGAGAGAAGAATAATCCGCATGGAGGGGAAACAGCATATGACATTAATATTTCCCATCTCATGGTCAAACCTTCCCCCAAGTGCTCCAGTGACTAGAATACACAACTGTAATTACACAGATATAAAGTTAATCCCACTGAAACTCCATTAGGCCATTCTTTCCAGTGATGGAAGCCTATATTCAAGTCAAAATGTTGACTTGTAATACTGCATCAGACTTTTAAGCTTCACAATAGTCGCTTTTTTCCAATGTCAGTAGATGCTGTGATGAACTCAAAATAATAATAAAAAGACAACAAATATATTGCTCCATTTATTCTCAAAATATATAAAATATATGTTACACCATTTAATACATTTTCATGTTTATAATGACTATGCCATACAGTAAAATGTATATCACCAAAACCCAATGCGTCAACTCCAAAATTTGACATTGCATGATGATCCAGAACTGTTTTGGGCAAAGCTCAAAAATTTTACTATTTCAAGCATCCATTCTAAAAAGAATAATATCTTAATTATTTGGGGTAACTATAACTGCAAAAGAATTAGATCACAAATATCCACAAGGAGATGATGGAGATATTGGTTGAGAAACTATATAGTGAAATGACATTTTTAACAGATGTAAACTAGAATACCACATATTTATAACGAATGGAAAAAGGTTAAAAATTTCCAGAGCTATGCTGCAAAGCTTGACTTACATTTGGATGTTCCGGGTATAGTGAGTCACGAATATATGTAACACATTTATTAAGATCTGTAGTATCTTGATCTTGTGATTCATCAATTATCTTGGTTCCCTGCATGTGGTTAGCAAGCAAAACTTCAAAATATCGTTTTTTCCCAAATCGTTGGATCTTCAAATTATGATTCAAACATGCTTTGTAATGAAATGCTGGAAAATGAAATACACATGAAGACAGCTAGCTAATCATCCCCAAAAATGGAGTTCTAACATGATTCAAAATGAGAAAAATGCACATGTATAATTGTTTAATAGGCTAGAAAGACATTTAGACAAGAGCACATACATTTGATGTAATCATCACACAAAAACTAGTAACTAAAAGTGTAACAATGGTTGTTATGCAGCTCAAAAGCTTGAATTCAACAATAAATTTGGGAACTTCATGGTGTTAACAAAGTAGGCCTCTCTCTACCAGACTGAAGAATATATTTGCAGAGCTCACTATGCTGTAAGCAAATTTCTCACTCTGGCACACAATTTAGCAAAGTTTTTCATTTCATTATTACATAAATGCTACTTGGATTTCTGATTTTCCCAACTGGATTGTAATTTAATGTTATCGCATCATTTAACTCTGAGACCAACAGGGAAGCCCTTAACACATCATACACTAGTAACCTGTCACATGGTGTCCCACTCCATAATATATCCAATTTGATCCACCAAATGGAGAAAAAGACTCACTGTGTTACCTTTCTCTAAAAAGATGCAAGGCAATTTTCAACATCAAATTCTTTGAGATCCTCCCTGTAGGCAAGCATTTAACCCAAAGTGATGATTCAATTAAAGTAGGAATGTAGAATAAATCCTACTAGTCTTAGGGACAAATTTTGAAATATATATCAATCCACTAGGTCTCATATCCCAAATTAGTTGAGACCAGCTACATCAATCCTCTGTATCCTTTCGGCCACACAATTCAGGCTCCATTTAATTTCAATACTAAATAATTTGTCCTTTAAGGCAAACTAGGGTTTCTCTAAAACTAATGTTCTCTAAATTTTAGACTTATCCCTACACAATTTTCTTAAAAAAATATCCCATTTGAAAAGAAATTTGCTGAGCAACTACAGGACCACCATAAGCAAATTCTAGCTTACCAGGCCTCTATAATAATCAAGAACATCAGTTCTGATTGAATCCATATCTCCTTTTATAGCATATGGCTTGTACCTGCAATAAGATCATGATTTAGTCTAATTTCAATCTATGATAACAGACTAAAGTTTTCCAAACATAAAGAAAATGTGCTTTGGCCAAACAAAAAGATAAAATATGAATGTTTTTACATATAGTCAGATTGTGTCTTAGCTAATTTAAAGTTCAATCCTATTATAAAAAAGGCAACCCGGTGCACAAAGCATCCGTGTTAGCAGGGAACGGAGAAGACCGCACCCCAAGCGGTGTGATGCAGACAACCTAACTTAATCTCAAATAGTGACTAATATTCTTCCCTAATGTAGAAATCCAAATTAAGCTTTCGTTTAGTCCATCTTGGTACAAGGAAAAATAAATGGGGCTCGCACATGAGGAAATGTTGTAAACGTAACTGATCGACGAGCAACTTTTATTTATAGATGCGTTCATTATGAATTGGAATTCCAAGACTAAAGCTCTGATCCCTAGCAAAGGGGATTTCATAACGAAGAGGATTTGAACTTGAGACCTCCGATTAAGGATGAAAGA